GGGGGGATATGATCTCCATGTATAATACATAAGGGGGGATATGATCTCCATGTATAATACATAAGGGGGGATATGATCGCCATGTATAATACATAAGGGGGGATATGATCTCCATGTATAATACATAAGGGGGGATATGATCTCCATGTATAATACATAAGGGGGATATGATCTCCATGTATAATACATAAGGGGGGATATGATCATCATGTATAATACATAAGGGGGGATATGATCTCCATGTATAATACATAAGGGGGGATATGATCACCATGTATAATACATAAGGGGGGATATGATCTCCATGTATAATACATAAGGGGGATATGATCTCCATGTATAATACATAAGGGGGATATGATCTCCATGTATAATACATAAGGGGGGATATGATCACCATGTATAATACATAAGGGGGGGATATGATCTCCATGTATAATACATAAGGGGGGATATGATCACCATGTATAATACATAAGGGGGGATATGATCTCCATGTATAATACATAAGGGGGATATGATCTCCATGTATAATACATAAGGGGGGATATGATCTCCATGTATAATACATAAGGGGGGGTATGATCTCCATGTATAATACATAAGGGGGGATATGATCTCCATGTATAATACATAAGGGGGGGTATGATCTCCATGTATAATACATAAGGGGGATATGATCTCCATGTATAATACATAAGGGGGATATGATCTCCATGTACAATACATAAGGGGGGGATATGATCTCCATGTATAATACATAAGGGGGGGATATGATCACCATGTATAATACATAAGGGGGGATATGATCTCCATGTATAATACATAGGGGGGATATGATCTCCATGTATAATACATAAGGGGGATATGATCACCATGTATAATACATAAGGGGGGATATGATCACCATGTATAATACATAAGGGGGGATATGATCTCCATGTATAATACATAAGGGGGATATGATCTCCATGTATAATACATAAGGGGGGATATGATCTCCATGTATAATACATAAGGGGGGATATGATCTCCATGTATAATACATAAGGGGGATATGATCTCCATGTATAATACATAAGGGGGGATATGATCTCCATGTATAATACATAAGGGGGGGATATGATCTCCATGTATAATACATAAGGGGGGGATATGATCTCCATGTATAATACATAAGGGGGGATATGATCACCATGTATAATACATAAGGGGGGATATGATCTCCATGTATAAATACATCAGTGGTTCATATAGTGAACTCGGTGTAGTTATTCCCCCTGAGGTCATCACAGAGGACAAGGGGGCGCTGTTTACGTCTGGAGGAAAAGAAATGTAATCTCCAAACATGGAAAGGTTTCTTCACAGTAAGAGCTGTGAAAATGTGGAATAGACTCCCTCAAGAGTTGGTTGTGGCCAGCTCACTGGATTGCTGTAGGAAAGTCCTGGATTCTTTTTTGGATACACAGAATATAACTGGATATAACATTTATAGGGAAAGTTGACCCAGGGAATATCCGATTGCCTCTCGGGGGATCAGAAAGGATTTTTTTTCCCTGCAGGAGCAAATTGGATCGTGCTTTGCTGGGTTTTTTTTTGCCTTCCTCTGGATCAACTGTGGGTGTAGGATTATAACTTTTTTTTTTTTTCTATGGTTGAACTGGATGGACTTTTGTCTTTTTTCAGCCAGACTAACTATGTAACTATGTAACTATGTAACCGTCCATGAGCTCCCTCACCTACACCGACATCTTTGGCCATGATACAGTACAAAACACGTGTTGTGATTCCCCGAGGTGCTGAGCGGTCGGTGCACTGGCTTGTAGCGTCCTTCTAGCACCCGAACAAACATCTAGATGAAAGAAAGTCGGCAGCTCGACTTTTGCCAATAAATACGTTTATTACTCCAGGTGTGGTCAGGGGCGGACTGACCATTTGGAAACTCGGGCACTGCCCGAGGGCTCGAGGTCAATAGGGGGCCCCATGAGATGCCCCTGGTACCTTTTTCATAGGCTTTTTTGAGTTTGGGCAAGGACACAGGGGCCCCATGATCCCCTATTGCCCGGGGGCCCCATAAGTTGTCAGTCTGCCCCTGGGTGTGGTACAAAATATTATAGGACTTACGCGTTTCGGCATGTAGCCTTGGTGATTACCATGGCCGAAACACGTAAGCCCTGTATTATTTTGTTCCACACCTGGACTGATAAACGTATTTATTGAAGAAGATCGAGCTGCCAGCTTTCTTTCATCAACGTCTTTGGCCAGTCTTCCAGTTTTTCAGGTACAGGATCCTCGCTCATGTTGGTCACACCCAGACGACAAAACATGCGCATGGGGTTCATTCGTCCCGACAGATGCCAAAATTTTAAACTGAGCTGCGCAAGCACAGAAGCAGGCTAGGGGTGTTTATAAAAATATGGAGAGTTGTTCACCCTGTGAAAACGCATGTACATTCATTCTGTACAAATGGGGCAAAAACAAATGCTATTTTCTCTTTGAAAAGTTGAAAGCTGATCAGGAAAATACCGCATTATGGTCACTAGATGGAGCTGATGATCATGGTAAATAAATATTCGTTCCCTATGATCATTTAGCAGCCATAATGCGGCATTGTTCTAATTCACTCTGTTCTGTATGAAGAATAACCTTCGACCTGGAGAGAATATGACCTAGTAACGTTCGATTTTTTTCCCCCTCTTTGCACAGAATGAACGTACACATGATTTAACAAGACAAAATGCAATTTTTTTCTATAAATACACACAACAACATGTTTCCTATGCAATAAAACGCCTGCCTGGTTGAATATTTAGAATTTTGATTTAATCACTTGCTGCCCGCCTGCTAACGCATCCCGTATGTCACCGCGAACTTCCTGGTATAGCAGCACGCATGCGCACGCCCCCCCCTGGTCACAGCACGGGATTGCCAGCAGGTTACAGCCAAATATTTTGGCTGTATACCTGCTGATCAGCTGTGGCCAATCACAGCACAGAGATCTGTGTGTTGGTAAAGACAACACACAGATCCTGCTTAACCCCTCGCCCTCCAGAGGATCCCCCCCCTTTTCCTGACCAGGCCATTTTTTGCGTTACGGCGCTGAGTTACTTTAACTGACAATTGCGCAGTCATGCAACGCTGCACCCAAATGAAATTTACTTCCTTTTTTTCCCACGATTTGAGCTGTCTTTCAGTGGTATTTCATCGCCTGTGCATTTTTTATTTTTTACGCTATAAAAAAAAATACCAACAATTTTGAGAAACAGAATAACATTTTTTGACTTTTTCCTATTAAACATGTCCAGTAAAAAAAATTTTAAAAATCAAATTTTGTCATAAATTTCGGCCAAAATGTATTCTGCGCCATGTCTTTGCTAAAAAAAAATCCCAATATGTGTAAATTGGTTTACGTGAAAGTTATAGCGTCTACAAATGACGATGTATATTTACTGGGATTTTTTTTTAATATTTTACTAGTTATGGTGGCGATAAGCGACTTATAGCGGAACTGTGGCGGACATTGGGGGGGAACTGACTTGGTGTCACTGACATCCCCAGTGACACCAATACAGAGATCAGTGCTAAAAAAATAACACTGACACTGTACTAATGGCACTGGGCAGGAAGGAGTTAACATGTAGGGCGATCAAAGGGTTAACTGTGTGCTATTTTCCTATGTGCTGTGTATTTGTGCTTCACTGTAAGCACACTGCTTTGTATTTGCGAAGCAATGTGCACGAGCTGACAGGGAGAACTGTTTTGTTTACAAACAGTTCTCCCCCCCCGTCGAAGATGCGAGCGCCTCCCACACGCCCCCTACCCGGAAAATGCAAAATCATGTATATATACGTGATTTTGCACATCCGTGCCGGCCCGTAGCGGTATTTCTGCTATAGGGCGGATGGAAAGCGGTTCATTTCTCCATGCTTTCAGTTATACTCCAGAACTGAAAGCAAGGAGAGACTCCAGCCAGCTGATCTGTGAGTAAAAGCAGCACACATACACTTGTTGGGCACACAGTTAACCCCTTGATTGCCCCCCTGATCACTCCTGTCACCCGGCCAGTGTCATTAGTACAATGTATAGTATTATCACTGATCACTGTATTAGCCCTGGCTTACACTATTGCAAACCATGCAGTCTGCATTTTCTCAGCCACGGCAGCCCATTCATGTGAATGGGCTGCTGTGCCACGTTTCGCACAGGAAAAAGGTACATGCGCTTTTTTGATAATGAGTATTTTTGACCATGTAGTTTCCCTGCGGTTCCCGAATCCACAATCGCACTGTGGGCTGAGAATGAATGATCGCCAGCCCCATGCGCCTCGCAAGAGCAGATTCGGCTGCGGGTGTGGGAACACCCACAACCAGCCTGTGGGCTAGTGTGAACCTAGCCTCAGTGTCACTAGCGACCAGGGTTGGACTGACCATTTGGAAACTCGGGCACTGCCCAAGGGCCCGGGGTCAGTAGGGGGCCCCATGAGATGCCCCTGGTACCTTTTCATAGGCTTTTTTGAGTTTGGGCAAGGACACAGGGGCCCCATGATCCCCTATTGCCCGGGGGCCCCATGAGTTGTCAGTCCGCCCCTGCTAGCAACATCAGTTTCAGTCAGTGTCCAGCCCAGCCAGTGTCAGTTAGCACCAGATTGCCCACCACACTATCACTGCCATTACTAGTACAGTGTTTGTATAGAACAGTATCTTGATCGCGTTCAGAATGATACTAGTCACCTGTTGGCAGGATCATTACTGCAGGACACACACCTGCAGAAAGTTGTTATAGTTTCGATTTATTGTTCTCGTTTAGTTTATTTAGATGGCACAATAAATTGTATCTAATGGTGATTTAATCAATGACTATTTTCGATACAATAGAATCAATCGCCACTTCCATGCGCTCTGTACACAGTACCCTGTAAGGTATGAATGGGTGACAGCGAGCGTGGGACCTGGGGATGCCGGGAGTCCACACAGGTGTCCTCCACCTATGCAGGCACCTACCTGTAGCTTGCTCAGTGGGTTTCCACACGGTGGATTCCAGAGATCCGTACTGCTTTGACGCCCTGCGTTCCTTCTCCATCGTCATCGCTTGGAAAGGTCCCCCCGACTGCCTCTAGGTGTGTACGTGGAGCTCCCCTGGATGTGGCATTGGCTGGAGGAGGGAGATGAATAACTACATGGCACAGGGACAGAGTGAATAAGAGGCAGGCGGCGGAGGAGGAGGGGAGGCAGCGCTGACACTCGCCTGGAAGCTTACAAACCATTGGAGATTGATCGCTGGAGATGCAGAGGGATGCTGAAGAGGACCAGATGCTGGGGGAGGAGGAGGAGGAGGAGGATGATGTGCGTGGGAGACCTCTAGTGTCCTCTCTATGTAATTGCTCACAGACAGAGGCAAGGTTTGCGGAGTGCGAAATCTTCGACTGGCCATTAATGATCTGACAGCGGTAGGTGATCACGGAATGTTAGTGGGACCTATTAGACACAACTGATACTTTGATGGTTTGTAAAAGCTAAAACACTTAACCCGTACCCTCTACTTAAACCCCAACACTAAGGTCCCATTCCCATGCATTTTCGCTCTTCTTGTGCGTTGCGTCGCGCATTAATGTGCGTGGCATTAAAACGGTATATTCATTCTGAATGAGCTGCCGACACGCCGGTTCAAAAGATATTTTTTTTCTGATGCAGCACAACACAACACACAGTAGTGTGCCACCATGACCTTAAACTGCAGTGCCTCAGTGCGTTGGGGTGCTATGGAGAGGTAATGGCGCCACAACGCGCTAATGCATGTAATGTGCGTTGTGGTAACGTGTGCATTACCACACAAGTGTGACTCGGCCCTAACACTCAATAGAAGCTCGTGTCAGCCTTTAACCACTTGTCCTCAGTCACCATAGGAGACATTTACTGCTGTCCTTGGCTCCCTAGAGGAGCAGAAGAGCCTAGGAACAACCGTGGGTGCCATGGGTGGGGAGGGGCACACCTTCAGAGCCCTGTAAAAGGGATGGGGCAGCACAGTGGCTAAATGGTTCACACCAGGGGCGGACTGACCATTTGGAAACTCGGGCACTGCCCGAGGGCCCAGGGTCAGTAGGGGGCCCCAAGAGATGCCCCTGGTACCTTTTTTCATAGGCTTTTTTGAGTTTGGGTAAGGACACAGGGGCCCCATGATCCCCTATTGCCCGGGGGCCCCATGAGTTGTCAGTCCGGCCCTGGTTCGCACTTCCACATGGCAGTACAAGGGTCCTTATTTCAAATCCCAACCATGGCACCACCTGCCTGGAGTTTGCACGTGTCCCTGTGCCTGTGTGGGTTTCCTCCAGGTACTCTGGTTTCCTCCCACACTCCAAAGACATGCTGGTAGGTGAATTGGCTCCTGTCTAAATTGTCCCTAGTATGTGTATGTATGAATGTAAGTTAGGGACCTTAGATTGTACGCCCCTTGAGGGTTAGGGACCTTAGATTGTACGCCCCTTGAGGGTTAGGGACCTTAGATTGTGCGCCCCTTGAGGGTTAGGAACCTTAGATTGTACGTTCCTTGAGGGTTAGGGACCTTAGATTGTGCGCCCCTTGAGGGTTAGGAACCTTAGATTGTACGCCCCTTGAGGGTCAGGGACCTTAGATTGTACGCCCCTTGAGGGTTAGGGACCTTAGATTGTACACTCCTTGAGGGTTAGGGACCTTAGATTGTACACCCCTTGAGGGTTAGGAACCTTAGATTGTACACCCCTTGAGGGTTAGGGACCTTAGATTGTACGCCCCTTGAGGGTTAGGGACCTTAGATTGTACGCCCCTTGAGGGTTAGGGACCTTAGATTGTACGCCCCTTGAGGGTTAGGGACCTTAGATTGTACGCCCCTTGAGGGTCAGGGCCCTTGGATTGTACGCCCCTTGAGGGTCAGGGCCCTTAGATTGTACGCCCCTTGAGGGTGAGGGACCTTAGATTGTACGCCCCTTGAGGGTTAGGGACTGATGTGAATGTACAATACATATGTAAAGCGCTATATAAGTACCTGTAATAAATAAATTAGACATGTGCAGTCTGTTTCGTTCCAAATCAAAATTTGGACACATTTTTTGTTATTCAGAGATTTGGATGTCTCTGAATTTCTGAATTACAGCCGTGGCCAAAAAGTTTTGAGAATGACCCAAATAGTAATTTTCACAAAGTCTGCTGCCTCAGTTTTTATGATGGCAATTTGCATATAACTCAGAATGTTATGAAGAGTGATCCGATGAATTGCAATTAATTGCAAAGTCCCCGTTTGCCATGAAAATGAACAATCTCCAAAAAACATTTCCCCTAGGTTCAAACCTAAGCATTTTCTGCACCGCTTTGAAGAAAAGCAGTACAGTCCATTTATTATGATTTCCTATGGGACACGTTCACATCTCTGCGTTTTCACCCGGTGCGTTTTTTGGAAAGGGTCAGGAACTTTTTTTAACGCAAAACTGCATAAAACAGAATGGAATAAAATGCAACAGAAAAAAACAAATAGAGCAAAATAGAAAAGAAAAGAATAGAATAGACTAGAAAATAAAAGAATAGAATAGCAAAAACAATAGAATAAAATAGAATAAAACTATCTGCCAAAACTCGAATTTCGAATAGAATAAATTTGAATGTGAATAGAATAGATTAGAATAGAAAAACATAGAATAGAAAATAATAGACTTGAATAGCAAAAACAATGGAATAGAAAGAATCTAACCGACTTCAGAAAATCGAATTTCAAAAAGAATAAGTTCAAATTCGAATTCGAATTTTCTGAATTCGGTCAAATTGATATCAATTCAACTGAATTCGGAAGACTAGAATTCGAATAAACAAAATAAAACAAATTCTGAAAACAAATTAAATTAATTTAACTAAATTATTTAAATAACAATAAACACATTTTTTGGTTCTGCACATCTAAAAGTTATCAATTTTACCTGAAAACGTTTACCAGCTCTAACAGTAAATACCACGCCTATAGTCGCAGCGGCAGCCATGAGCTTGCTTGAATACCAAGATGTTTATAAACGTACCTTGGTAAACAAGGGGTTAAAGGGGATCTATCATCAGACATACACTATATTGCCAGAATTATTGGCCCCGCCCTCCAAATCATGTGATTCAGGTGTTCCAATCCCCTCCATGGACACAGGTGTATACAATCATCCCCTAGGCATGCAGACGGCTTCTACAAACATTGGTGAAAGAATGGGTCGCTCTCAGGAGCTCAGTGACTCCAAGCGTGGTCCCGTGATAGGTGGTCACCTGTGCAATAAGTCCATCCGTGACATTTCCTGGCTACTAAATATTCCACGCTCAACTGTTAGTGGGATTCTAACAAAGTGGAAGCAACTGGGAACAACAGCCACCAAGTGGTAGGCCACGTCACATGACAGGGCGGGGTCAGCGCATGCTGTCGCTGTATTAATGACACTGGCTTGGAAGGGGTTAACATCTGAAGGTAATCAAGGGTTTAAGACTCCATTCACACTTGTGCCACTTCAAAATTGCGCAAATTTAATTGCAACTTTACAGTGCAACTTGAGTGTGACTTTGGCTTAGACCAAGGATTGTTGGTGCTCTACAAAGACGCACACAAGTCGCATGTATATCATTCAGGTGCAGCTTTGGAGGGTTTACATTGAAGTCTACGGACCTCAAGTCACATGGAAGTCAAACCAAAGTAGTGCAGGAACGACTTTCAAGTCGCTGTGACTTGAAGTCGCACAGGTATGAATGGTACTCATTGGGAATGCGGTACCCATGGGGTGCTGCTTGGCATGACAAGTGTGAATGGGCTCTAAGTGTCGTCCTAACAAGCGGAGTTCCAGTGAAAATAAAAGTCAGCAGCTACAAAAACTGTAGCTGCTGATTTTTAAAAAAGGACACTCACCTGTCCCGCGATCCCGTGGTGTGTTCCCCGCAGCCCTATGGTCCCAGCGCCGGCATCTTCAGTGTGGGCACCCGGCTGTGACATTTTGTGGCTTCACAGCCAGGTGCCCACTGCACATGTGTGAGTAGTGCAGCGCTTTGTGAATGGTCCCATAGTCTTCTGGAACCTGTCTTGTGTCCCAGAAGACTACAGGGAGGGAGGGGGGAGGACAACTTCCGCTTCTGATCGCCTGTCAATTTTGGGTACCTGCTCCCCAAAGGTGCCAATCCTTAACAGGGAGCGGGGGACCAGTCCTTAACCCCCCTGGCGGTATTTCTGAGTGTAGCTCGGGGTAAAGTTTCAGCACCACAAGCGGTAACCCCCCCCCCCGAGCTACACTCGGGAATACACTGCAGCGCTGCTCCGGGATCTCTTCTTCTCTTACCTTGTCCTGCGCTCCCGCGATGTCCCTCCTGCAGTGTCCCCTGTAATGTCCTCCGGCCGATGCCGGCATCTGTCTTCCGGGTTCCATTCCCTGTGACGTCGGGACGTACGGGGGACGGAACTGGCGGGAAATTGTAAAAGTGACATTCACTAAAATCACATAGTATAACATTCCTGTATCAACCCATTTCACATACATGTTGTCCCGAGTGCTTTGTCCGGCGCCCTGCCTGCATTTTTACTGTTCTTTCTGCCTGGAAACTGAGAAACGTCCATGGCATCCAAAAAGCATCCCTTTAGGTCAGACGCGGTTTTAGACCGGCTAGAGAACAGCGATAGTAAATCAGAACCACTTGCAGAATTGAGTGATAATGATTGGTGGGGGAAATTCCTCATCAGACACTGAAAACGATTCTGCGACTTTGCTCAGCAATGTGAGAACTTGGCGCTATATTTCACATTTCAGTGTTTTTGGTTTGATTATATTATTGAATTACATTTATTATTATATTATTATTTATTATGATTATTTATTAAATTATAATTTATGATTTCGTGTTTCAAGTTTTATCATCCCCGGGATGTTTACTAGACTCTTGTTCGGACAGATTTCAGTGAGTTATTCCCAAGAATTACAGCCTACAAAAAATAAAAACAACATATTTCCATGCAAAAAAATGTACCGCTTTGAGAACAGACATATGGACATAATCAGATTGCTAGGGAGGTTAAAGTGGAACTTCCGCTTATGGGTGGAGCTCCACTTT